CCTTCCTCGTCTCTTATTATAATCTTTGGCTTAAAATCTAATTGATCTGATATAAGGATTGCCACTCCTGCTTTCTTCTGATGTCCATTAGCATGGTAAATTGTTTTCCACCCCCTCACTTTAAATCTGGAGGTGTCTTCGTGTTTAAATTGAGTTTCTTGTAGGCAACATATAGATGGGTTTTGTTTTTTTATCCATTCTGATACCCTGTGTCTTTTGATTGGGGCATTTAGCCCATTAACATTCAGAGTAACTATTGAGAGATATGAATTTAGTGCCATTGTATTGCCTGTAAGGTGACTGTTATTGTATATTGTCTCTGTTCCTTTCTGATCTACTACTTTTAGGCTCTCTTTTTGCTTAGAGGAACCCTTTCAATATTTCCTGTAGAGCTGGTTTGGTGTTTGCAAATTCTTTCAGTTTTTGTTTGTCCTGGAAGCTTTTAATCTCTCCTTCTATTTTCAATGATAGCCTAGCTGGATATAGTATTCTTGGCTGCATGTTTTTCTCGTTTAGTACTCTGAATATATCATGCCAGCTCTTTCTGGCCTGCCAGGTCTCTGTGGATAAGTCTGCTGCCAATCTAATATTTTTACCATTGTATGTTACAGACTTCTTCTCCCGGGCTGCTTTCAGGATTTTCTCTTTGTCACTAAGACTTGTAAATTTGACTATTAGGTGACGGGGTGTGGACCTATTCTTATTGATTTTGAGGGGGGTTCTCTGAACCTCCTGGATTTTGAGGCTTGTTCCCTTTGCCATATTGGGGAAATTCTCTCCAATAATTCTCTCCAATATTCCTTCTGCTCCCCTCTCTCTTTCTTCTTCTTCTGGAATCCCAATTATTCTAATGTTGTTTCGTCTTATGGTGTCACTTATCTCTCGAATTCTGCCCTCGTGGTCCAGTAGCTGTTTGTCCCTCTTTTGCTCAGCTTCTTTATTCTCTGTCATTTGGTCTTCTATATTGCTAATTCTTTCTTCTGCCTCATTTATCCTAGCAGTGAGAGCCTCCATTTTTGAGGCTCATTAATAGCTTTTTTTATTTCAACTTGATTAGATTTTAGTTCTTTTATTTCTCCAGAAAGGGCTTTTATATCTCCCGAGAAGGTTTCTCTAATATCTTCCATGCCTTTTTTGAGCCTGGCTAGAACCTTGAGAATCGTCATTCTGAACTCTAGATCTGACATATTACCAATGTCTGTATTGATTAGGTCCCTAGCCTTCGGTACTGCCTCTTGTTCTTTTTTTTGTGGTGAATTTTTCCGCCTTGTCATTTTGTCCAGATAAGAGTATATGAAGGAACAAGTAAAATACTAAAAGGTTTGCAACAACCCCAGGAAATATGCTTTAGCCAAATCAGAAGAGATCCCAAATCGTGAGGGGGAGGAAAGGGGATATACAGAGGTTCAGAAAGAAAAAAAAAAAAGAAAAAAGAAAAAAGAAACAAATAAAAAAAAACAATAATGAAAAAATAAAAAAGGAAAAAAATATATATTTTAGATAAACTAGTTAAAAAACGTTAAAAAAGAAAAGGGTAAAAGTTAAAAATGTTTAGCAGAAGAAGAGGAAAAAAATTGAAAAAGAAAAAAAAATTAAATTAACTGCAAGGCTAAAGAATCATGGGGAGAAAGCCATGAGTTCCGTGCTTTGCTTTCTCCTCCTCTGGAATTCCGCTGCTCTCCTTGGTATTCAAACTGCACTCCTTGGTAGGTGAACTTGGTCCTGGCTGGGTTTCTTGTTGCTCTTCTGGGGGAGGGGCCTGTTGTCGTGATTCTCAATTTTCTTTGCCCCAGGCGGAGTTGCACCGCCCTTACCAGGGGCCGGGCTGAGTAATCCACTCGGGTTTGCTTTCGGGAGCTTTTGTTCCCTGAGCGCTTTCCGTAGAGTTCCAGAGGACAGGAATGAAGATGGCGGCCTCCCAGTCTCCGGCCCGGGGGAGCCGAGAGCCCGGGGCCCCACTCCTCAGTGCGCCCTCAGAGAACAGCACTCAATTACTCCCGTCACGCTGGCCTCCAGCCGCGCTCTGAGCTGACCGAGCCTGCGACCGGTTCAAGGTAACCCCGAGCTGAGAGTCACTCCTCAGCTCTGTCTCTGTAGCCGGCTTCCCCGTTCTAATACGTGTAAGCTCTGTGACACTCAGCCACACCCGATCCTTCTGTGACCCTGCGGGACCTGAGGCCACGCTGACCCTGCGTGGGCTTCACCCCAGTTAAGCCTCTGGAGCGATGTCCCTCAGCGGAACAGACTTTTAAAAGTCCTGATTTTGTGCTCTGTTGCTCCGCCACTTGCCGGGAGCCGGCCCCTCCCCCCGCGGTCTATCTTCCCGTTGCTTTGGATTCACTTTTCCGCCAGTCCTACCTTTCAGAACGTGGTTGATTTTCTGTTTCTAGAATTGCTGTTCTTCTTCTCTTCGATCTCCCGTTGGATTTGTAGGTGTTTGCAATCTTTAGATAAGCTATCTAGCTGATCTCCCGCTACCTGAAGTAGTCTCAGCCTGCTACTTCTCCGCCATCTTGACTCCTCCCCCGAGGCAATATCCAGATGGCCCTTCTTTTCACTACGTCTGTATCTTTGGGGTAAATGCCCAGTAGTGCAATTGTAAGTTCATAGGGAAGCTCTATTTTTAATTTCCTGAGGAATCTCCACACCGTTCTCCAAAGTGGCTGCACCAACTTGCATTCCCACCACCAGTGTAAGAGGGTTCCCCTTTCTCCACATCCCCTCCAACACATGTTGTTTTCTGTCTTGCTAATTTTGGCCATTCTAAGTGGTGTAAGGTGGTATCTCAAGTGGTTTTAATTTGAATCTCCCTGATGGCTAGTGATGATGAACATTTTTTCATGTGTCTGATAGCCATTTGTATGTCTTCATTGGAGAAGTGTCTGTTCATATCTTCTGCCCATTTTTTGATATGATTGTCTGTTTTGTGTGTGTTGAGTTTGAGGAGTTCTTTATAGATCCTGGATATCAACCTTTTGTCTGTACTGTCATTTGCAAATATCTTCTCCCATTCCGTGGGTTGCCTCTTTGTTTTCTTGACTGTTTCCTTTGCTGTGCAGAAGCTTTTGATTTTGATGAAGTCCCAAAAGTTCATTTTTGCTTTTGTTTCCTTTGCCTTTGGAGACATATCTTGAAAGAAGTTGCTGTGGCTGATATCGAGAGGTTACTGCCTATGTTCTCCTCTAGGATTTTGATGGATTCCTGTCTCATGTTGAAGTCTTTTATCCATTTTGAGTTTATCTTTGTGTACGCTTTAAGAGAATGATCAAGTTTCATTCTTCCTTTCTTTGGTGTCAGTGGGAGGTTAAAACCATGGAAGCCTCTGCCTGCATAAAGGAATTCCTATTCCCTAATCACCATAAAAAACCCCAGTCATTTTCCTTTCCCTGATTTATCGAGCCATTTTTGGACTGGCTTAGGAAGCTTGCCCTGCTTTCCAGAAAAAACCTCATTATGTAAGTATTAACACTTTAACATTCTCTTGGTGTGTATGTGTGGCATCACCAGTCTTGACATCTGAATCCAATTTGGGGTAGGGGTCTATCCCATGTCTGTAGAATGGCACCAACAGATGGTGATTCAAGGTATTCCCTGAACCAAAGAAACCTACAAAGTCCAGGAAGCATCCATAGCTTATAGTTCAATGTGATTTCTGCTGAGTTTTGTGGCAGAAGTGTTTGCCTTTTGGTGATTATAACATGCAACCCTACAGAGCTCAGAGTTGTGGGGACAGGAAGAAGGAATTCTGTCTTCAAATTGCCTATGAACATGGGACTACAATATCAACTCTTCTTTGGCTTTCCATTCTGTCAGCCTGCTTTGTAGATTTCAGACTTGCCAGTTTCCAAAATCATGTGAACCAATACCCAAAAACATATAAATGAATCTCATGTGTATTATATTTACATAAATAGGGGTTCCATTTTTCTTGAGAATCCTAACAAATACAGTTTGAGAATATTCTCTGAAATAGCTTAAAGAAGTTAAAAATATTGATTTATTTTCTGATAATATCACTGAACTTGGCTCTTGACCACTTCATCCATATATAGCACAGAAATGTATCTGGTCACTACAAGGTACTTCAGTCACTTACAAACTTTTCTCTCTTTTCTTCCTCCTTCCCAACTGCCACAATGATTTAACTATAAAATAGAAGGAGGAGGACTCAGTCATGTATTTCCCTGATATGAGAGGAGAGGCTTATTGTCTGAAATGGTTAGTGTCTGTCCATATTGGCTGCTGCTGATATTTTCCTTACACACTGGCTGCTGTCCATCCCTATAGACACCAACTGTGTTGTTTCCTGGACTGACATGACCTTCAGTTCAAAAGGACTCCTTAATGCATTGTCTTGTTGCCAATTTCAAATTCTCTCTTGATCTCCTGGTCTTCCTTCAACCTTTTAGGTACACCCCCTCCCCAGGGACATGAAAGACATTCTCTCCACACCACACAAGTCTGCCAGGGTCTCTATGAGGTTGTCCTCATGCATATGCATCTTAACATTTCTCAGTCATTATTATTCTTCTGCAACAGAATCATGGTGAATATTTGGCTTATCCACACAGCTCTGAGATTTCCATGATGACTCCCAGGGATTGAGACAAAGTTCCTATAACTTTTATGGAGTTTCATTTATCCTTTCTACCTGGGGCTCAGTCAAAACAAGTAGAAGAAGAAGGGTAAGAGCAGAGATGTCAGTTCCTTTCTCAAAGGTTGTTTATATCTACTAAGATCTACTAAGATCTACAGCCCAGAGAGGATGGTACAGAAAAACAATTTATGCACAGTCTGGTATTTCCTGGAATATGGGGAAATGGTCTGTCTTGGAGAACAAAGCTTAAGGGAGTCTCTGATCTACCTTAGTAGAAAACATTCCAGGGATTCATGGTTGAAAGGAGAAGGTACTTAGACAAAAATGAAGGCTTTTCCAGAATAATAGACCTGACCTGAGGAGGTTTGCATTATAGGTCATAGTCAATACTAATGTGTGCATATGCTATAGGGACATTGAGCTATTAGAGCAAACACTAATGTTACAGAGAAGATTAGCATAGCCCCTGTGCAAGAATGACATACAAATTCATGAAGTGTTCCATAAAAACAACAAGAACAACAAAAACCAGGCACTAAGAGGGTATTTGTGTGAAGAATAATGCAAGGCCTGCTGGGACAATAGGGTCAAAGTAACTTTGAAACTGGTGATTAGGACTTGGGTCATAAGGACTAAGCCCCCAAAGAAAGGACACAAAGGCTTTCCTGGTCCTTGGGACAAACGTCCTTGGAGTGCAGAAAACACCGTAAGTTTATGAACTGGGTAAGTAATCCCTTATTTGAGGGAGCCAACTTAACTTGGCTTTGCATGGTCCTCTTACAATGTTTGGAATCTAGTCTTTAGAAAACATTTCCAAATTCCTTGACAAGCAGGGTTATTTAAGTGGTCTAAGAAAGTAATATACCACTCTAAGGCAAGTCTACCCAATTTGGGTGAAATGTGTGTTTTTGAAAATATTTCCCAACATTAACCTTGATCTCAAAGAGTCAAGAGCAAATCAGTAAAGGAGAGAGTGGATAAGAGATAGAGAAAGAGGAGTAGTACAAATGAATAACAAGAGTGAACAGCATAATAATAGATGATATGCTGTATCAAGGATTTATGATATGCAAGGCACTGTACATATATTACTACACAAGGCATTTTACATATATTAGCTCAATTAATTTTTGTGACAACTCTATTTAGGAGTGTGACAGAGTCAGCTAGCCTTCCTGTTTTCACTTCCATAGTGAAGGGTTATTTCTGGCAAGTGGCTATCCAATGAGGGGCTACATAGCTCACCCACTCCTTTGCAGTTAAATGGAGTAATGTGATTAGTTTCTGTGGTAGACTGAATAATGGCCCTGAAAGTCCCCTACATCCTGATCTATGGATCCTGTAGATATTAATTTTGCATGGCAAAAGGGACTTTGCTGATGTGAAAAAGTTAAAAACCTTACCACAGGGAGTTTATTCTGGATTATCCAGATGGGCCATAAATGTAAATAAGGGACACAGCTGGAGATCTGACCACAAGCAAAGGTGATGTGATGGAAGCAGAGAGATATTTGAGGATAATATGTTGCTGGCTTTGAAGATGCGGGGAGGGGCTATGAGCCAAGGAATGCAGGGAATACAACACTAAAAGCTGGAAAATGCAAGGAAATAGATTCTCTCCTACATCCTGTGGATAAAGCGCAGCCCTGCTGACATCTTCGTTTTGACGCAGTAAAACTATTTTGGGTTTATGGTCTCCAGAGCTGTAAGCATATTAATTTCTGTTGTTTTAAGCCACTAAATTTGTGGCAGTTTTTAGAGCAGCTATAAAAAATTAATATAATTCTCACCAATGAAATATGAATAAAAATGTTACCAGGACCATGTTGTAACTTGGAAGGGCCCTAGGTTCTTTAGATGTCATGGACCCTTTACCATAAAAATATATATATTTTATGAATGCATTCATATAAGTCTAATCCAGGCTTAATTAATTATACGTTAGTTATTATTATATTAATTTTATCTTCTGATTTGAAAAGAAATTAAACATTTTTAATGAGCCCCCTAAGAGTATCATGAACCCTAGGCCCTGTGACTATTGTGCCTAACAAATAAGTCAGTGATGTGTATCACTTCTGAACCACGGAGGTTATAGAGCCAGTTTTCCTTCTCTTCTCTCTCTCTCTCTCTCTCTCTCTCTCCTTCTTTTGTTTTTTGAGCAAAGGTGATAGAAGTTTATTATTATCACCAGAGAGAAGCAAGCAGGACAGAAAGGGAGAGACTATCTGCCACAAAGCAATGGGGGAAGGCTGTAGTTAAGAAGGAAAGTGAGGAGGTGTGGTACTACATGAAATTTTCCTCTTTTGATAACTGTGTCTAGGTGTAAGTAACCCATTGATCAGCTAAGGCTTATGGATATTTTGAGGTGGGTCGCCTAATAGGCCTGTTTGCATTTAGCCAGGTGGTAAGGGGTCACTGTGGGCCCTTCTAACTTACTCAGGTTCCCACTGTTCAAGTTGGTTGCCTAAAAGCAGTATCTACATTCCACTCTGACAGATCAATAATGAAAAATCTTTGCCATTTGGGCAGAGGTCTCATCTTCAGTAGTTGCTTCATGCTGAATGAGGGGCATAGAGATGTTCCTACCTATGGACCAACATTGGTCAGTGGGAATTTAATAAGAGTTATAGAAAACCAAGGCAGCTGTGTCTAGAGTTGATAACATATGGGAGTCTCCTTGAGCAGAAAGAATCATCTGTTGGCTTGAAGCTATGGCAGTGAAGGATTCTCCGCATTAGGTGGAGAGGCATGGGAGAAAACAGCAAAACATGATTAGAATAACAAGAAGGAAAAATAGCCCAATAAGAGTCCTTTGATAGTTAACAAAATTCTTCCTCCTGTCCAGGAGTTTAATCAGTCAGCAAAAGAAAGGGAGGGGCCCTTTAAAACATTAATTTGAGTGTTCATGTCAGTTAGAAACCCAGAAATATTTTCCTGGTAATCTGGAATGTATGCACAGCATTCTGTTTTTATGATAGCACACATCCCACCTTGTGTAGCAGTTAAAATATCTAATGCCATTCTATTTTGTAGGACTGCTTTATGTATTTGAGTTTTTTCAGTGTTTAATAATGTAATGCCATTTTGAGAATCATTTAAGGACTTATTTGTGTAGCAGGTGGTATTAACCATCACATGTTCTGTTTTGTTTAGCAAACAGTCAGGTAATTAAAAAGAGGTACCTTTATGGAAACAAAACAAAAATGTAAGTTAATGCAGCAAATTACAATCTCAGTGTCTGAATCTTGAGTGCTGGCATTGAGTCTCCAGCGCTGCCAGTGAGATTTTTAGATGTCAGGCTTGAAGCATCCTCAGATGAGGTGGGAATATGCAATGGGAATCAGATTGGTATTTCTGGTTTGTAATTCAAATGTCTCTCGTGATCCTTTTGAATGGCCCTTAAAGCAACAGTTGTTTATAGATGAGTTTTGGGCAAATCCTCTGATGTTTACTTCAGGTTGTTACTCAGATGCAGGAATGTGTTTGCTCACTGATCAAGGTGGTGACTGGATCTGTGGAAACAAATGAATAAAAGGGAGGGAGCTGAAAGAAGTAAGGCAGCTGAGAGTTAGCCAAGTTCAAGTAAGGGTCCCAACTGAGTCCATAATGTGTGCAGATTTGCTCTGGGTGAGATGACACTGCCAATTGTGCCACATGTTGGGAATGGAGGCCTTAGGGAAATGGAGTCGGAGAGCAGAGGAAAAAGAGTCCTTCACACTCACAGGCATGGACAGTACAACCTGTTCACTTTCAGACCTTCAGAGTACACTGGGGATCTGCCCTGGCCAGAGAACTTCAGTTGTCTAAGAAGTAGTAGGATTAGATTGCTGAAGGGCCAAAAAGAGAAAGGAGAGGGAGGGAATGATCTTTTCAAGGGGCAAGAGGGGAAATCCCTCATCCTTTCATGCAAGGGGTTTGGAGATGGTTCCCCTGGGTCTTCAGATCCTCACCAGAAGTAACCTCAGCCAGAGGTCATCAGTTCCCCAAGGAATACTAAAGTCAGTCCATTAAGATAAAGTCCTAAGAAACTCTCAGAGAATCTGGGGAGAGCCCTGGGTGAGTAAAAATTCTTTGTGCAGTGTCCACCAAATGTGGGGTGATTCAATCACGTGGAGGCCAGTTGTGTGGGTGGTGAAAGAATTCACCAAAGGCAGAACAAAGGAGAGGTTTATTGAATACACTGCAAGGGAGCAATGGGCAGGACTGCAAGGGAGAGACTGTTTGCCTACTTTCTCCTTTTTAGAAGAGGTCTCTCAGATTCCAGCAGCTTGCCCTAAAAAATACTCTTGTTATCCTTGAGTCACCATGTGGAGGAAAGTTACCTTCTGCCCAAGAATACCCACACTGTACTGTCATATCAGGAAAAAATAAACTTTTATTGTTTTAAGCCACAGAAATATTGGGATATATTTGTAATAGCAGATAACATTATACTGGAGAATTTAGAGATTGGAACTTTAAAGTGGGGTTAACCCATAATAAAAATATACATGTGGGGGCGCCTGGGTGGCTCAGTGGGTTAAAGCCTCTGCCTTCGGCTCGGGTCATGATCCCAGGGTCCTGGGATTGAGCCCCGCGTCAGGCTCTCTGCTCAGCAGGGAGCCTGCTTCACTTCCTCTCTGCCTGCCTCTCTGCCTACCTGTGATCTCTGTCTGTCAAATAAATAAATAAAATCTTAAAAAAATATATACATGTGGCTCTGGCTTAGTAGCCAAATTGTATGCAGCAAGGAAGTTGAAATTGGCAACTGGAGATATGGAAGCCTAAGTGTAGTGGCAAACATTGGGTGAATGTATCAACCATTTGGAAGTGAGGCCAAAGACCTGCTAAGCCTGAAACTCTAGGAGGAGAGATTGGATAATAGACTGTTGATAATGTGCATTGGTTGTTATTTGCAGAATTTAGCATGATATGTCAAGAAAAGATATGCAAGAATTATCTGGTTTGAGATTAAAGACAGAAAGCAATAGAGAGAGTCTTAGTCTTCTCAGGTGCCATAGCCATATAATAGACTGGGTGGTTTAAACAACAGAAATTAATTTTCTCACAGTTCTAAAGGCTAGAAGTCCCAGAACAATAAGCAGCAGGGTTGGTGTCTATTGAGTGTTCCCTCTTTGACTTCTCTTCTTTTTTCCCCTAAGATTTTTATTTATTTATTTGTTTATTGGAGAGAGAGAGAGAGACAAAGACAGAGAGAGACAAAGAGAGCCCAGGAAGGAGGAACAGAGGGAGAGGGACAAGCAGAATCTGCATTGAGCACAGCGCCTGTTGTGGGGCTCCATCTCACAACACTGAGATCATGACCTGCCAAAATCAAGATTTGGATGTTCAACTGACTGAGCCACCCAGGTGCCCCTCCTTGATATCTTTTCTTGACAGATGTCTTCTTACTATGTGCTGGCATGGTCCTTCCTTGGTACATGCACATAGATCTATCTTTCTTTCTCTCTCTCTCTCTCTCTCCCTATTTCTCTCTTTCTCTCTCCTTCTCCTCCTCCTCCTTCTTCC